GGGGGTCTGAATACTTTCCGTACCCACTGTATATATATTGTAATGGAAAAGTTTGGGAAGCCCTGTCTCAGAGCTTGTTTTAAACACAGACGGATGCTAAGACTCTCTCACACACACCTGTTCAGCACACAGAGCCATCAGTGAATCATTCGAGCCTGTGGACTATAATGTTGAGATATTAATCACCTGATATCTGCTCTGAACAGCTTGCTGCACAATCTCTCTCGCCGGGAGCCAGGCCTTCATGAAGAAATCCAACCGGTCCTTGAATTCTGCTCCTACAAGAGCCAGCGCTTTCTGGAAGCCCTCCTGTGATGTAGAAGTTTTAAGATTCAAGCAATATTCTTTATATGACAACAAAAGTGTATGATATTCACCTGAACTTCATGCTAACGTATTCAGTTGTTGTGCAACTCATCTGACAGAGACATTTACATTACACCCCGTGTGGCACAGATCAGATATAACACACAAGCGTGAGCAGGAAAAAAGCAGATGCTCTCACAAGTTTATTATTTTAACACTGTGGGAGGAGTACAATTTGCATATGTGGTTTCAACAACCAGATGCAGTTACACTTGTCCAGTTTCGTCTCCTGATGTGGTTCGAGTGATCGGATTTAAATCACTGTTGCCACACTGCTATAGCGAGCTCTCCCCTGGATTGCAAGTCTGACGGAGGGAACGGCTAGTTTGGCTAGTTCTGATTAGCAATTGGGCTGGATTTATTTCGCAGACCTGGCAACCCTGTTTCTGGGTCAGTATGTCTACCTAGAGTTGTTTCGCCAAATCTATGATGTAATGCAGATATTGTATATGGGTCACTTTAAAAGATCATGTAAGTTGGGAATCAAGACCTGCGGTGCAAATGCATTTTCAATTAGACCGTCTGCTGTTTGTGTTTAGATCAATTATATATAAAATACATAATCACTTATGATTTTGACTCAAAATAATCTAGAACCTAACCCAGAAAAATTGGCTAAAGGCTGAAGAATGGTAAGTAAAAGTCTGCAGGTGACTGTGGTGTAAGATAACTGTGCAGCAGTGTGTTAACCTCAGTGTCCTGGTCAGAGCTGTTCCAGCGAGGGTTGAGGTGGCCGACGCGAGCGCTGAGGGTGGTGCTGATGGAGTAACGCACCTCTCCGTCACACTGACTGATCCCGTTATCCACCGCATCCACCTCCTCCACGAAGCTGTCGTACATCTGGAGCAGAGAGGAGTCTGTGAACACTGTCTGTGTGCTGCTCAAAGCCTCGAGACTTCACTGACCTTGTCATACAGGAGCTCCAGCTGCGGCTCGTGCTGCTTCAGCTGCGTCAGCTGCTCCAGAACATGTCTGCCGAAGTGAAGGTAGATCAGACCCGCCGAGCTCAGCTTCGTCACCCAGCGCTTCTCTGGACACAAGCTGTGGAAGCTCTCTGCAAAAGACCTGACGAACGACACACACACACTGTGCACTCGGAGCCTCTCGTTCTGAATTATGCATCAATGTTCCAGTTGAAAGAGTATTTCTCATTCATGCATATTCTTTTGTGCTCCAGGGTCACATAGCATAGAAAGGTACATAAAAAGTGATTAAATGCCAATTAACCTGAAAAACTCATTCACAGCTTCTCTAATAAGTCAGGTTTGATAAATAAGCTGATAGTTTCGGGTAGATGAAGAAACGCTGCAGTAAGGATCTGTAAAGTTGTAGTGCAGGATGATGATGATGATGAAGATGTACCTCTGATGATGGTCATATCGATGCTGAGCGGGATCATATTCTCCTCCGACATCCACCACAACATCACACTGCTTCAGGAGTGACGCGTCTCTGCTGCGGAGGATCTCTGCGTCCTGATGAAGAAGAGCACACATATGGTGAAGAAGCGCACAGATGGTGAAGAAGCGCACACAGATGGTGAAGAAGAGCACACATATGGTGAAGCAGCGCACAGATGGTGAAGCAGCGCACACAGATGGTGAAGAAGAGCACACAGATGGTGAAGCAGCGCACACAGATGGTGAAGCAGCGCACACAGATGGTGAAGCAGCGCACACAGATGGTGAAGCAGCGCACACAGAGCACACAGATGGTGCAGAAGAGCACACAGATGGTGAAGAAGAGCACACAGATGGTGAAGA